AAGAAAAAAAACTTACGAAAAACTGGCATTTCTCAGTAGACCAGAGGCTTCATCCCACCAGGACTGGACTCCAGACCTAAAGGAGGACTACAAAAACTCATTTGTGTATTTTCAAAGGCCCTAAAAAGTTCTATATTTAACAGTTTTATATGTCGTACCTTTGTAGAGAAGCTCCGGGACTTCTGGCGTTGCAGTTTAGGACCTTTGGTTTCAGCTTCTGGGATCTCATACGGTGTGGAACTAAAAGGGCCAACAAATACACATTTTTTTAAAAACAAATTATATATATGAATATATAAATATAGATTAATGTTAGCTTCAGCCTTTGAACGCAAAACACCAAAAGAGTAGGAAGGTTTCTCATTTATTGGCCCTCAGTCATCACACTACAGGCTAAATTTCACATTTCTGCACAGAAAAAAGCTACAAAATAATGAAAATTGTTTGGTTTTTGGGCCACTGGACAAAAACCTCATGACTGGAAGTTGTTTTTAGTCAAATGCTTTTCATCAACCACCCAGTTTCTGCTAATTTGGGGATGAAAAATAAATAAAGTTACTCCCATTTCCCTGAATGGATCTTATCTAGAAAACCAGGATCTGTGTTCATGTCAAAGCCTGATATTTTACATCATTTCCAAATAAAAAGACTAATAAACAGGTTATTGAAAATGAATGTGAGTCTTACTTGGTTCTGCTGTTTTAAGGGAATAAAGGCCAGACCGACACCATCTCCTGGATCTGAAAACACAAAATAAAGAGGTTTTATCACCATCTGCTGAAGTGGATCAGAAATAAAGTTTAAAAAGAAAATAGTTTACTTACAAACACACACCTGTCCATAGGTCACATGACAATTGTTTACAAGGAATCCTGCAAATCAAAGCAGAAAAATTAGATCACAAGTAAAATAAAAGCCCTGGTGGAACAAAACCAAATCTTCTGGGTTTGTTGGATATTAGTAAACCTGTTCTTCCATTTAAGGTTTTACAGGTTAACTGCATCCCAATTAAAATGTTTAGACAAAAATAATTTGATATAATAAAACTAGTCACAGAAGCAGATTTAGATCTAAACATGGACCATCAGACTTAACAGGTAAAAACAAACTACAGCTCACATATTAGTTTGACCTTTTTCTCACTACTACTAATAATTAAACACAAAACATTTCACAAACATCATAAAGGTGTTTATTTTGTCACCATAATCCCCACAGAGTTTCTACTTTACTTCTAAGGGACAATTGTCTTTGTGTTCTTATATAAACACATTAAAGGGTTAAATAATAAAGTCTGGAAGTTCAGCCAAAAGCACAATAAACAGTTATTTTAACACCTTTGAGGCTACAGAAATTAAACAGATCATTCAAAAACAAACCTTTCCCTCCAAGGACCCAGCACACATCACATTTTACAAATAAATAACAACATTTCAAATACTTAAACATTGAATGTAATGCAATCAAATATAAAATAATAATTCAACATTAAAATAAAAAAGCTATATAAAGAAATCAAAAGATATAAGACGCATTTATATAAGATACTTAAATATATTCAATGTAATGCTATCAAATATAAAATAAGAATTCAACATTCAAATAAAAAAAAAAAGATATAATAACATATTTTTATATATAAGATAAATAAAAGACTTTCCCTTTAGACTTGTGCTTCCAGGTCTAAACCATTTGAATTTCCGCCAAAAAAGGCAGAAAAATGTGGCCGTTTTCAACCCGATGCTGGAAACTAACCAGAGGAAGATAAACTACGGTGGCCCAGGAGGCCCAAAAACAGAGAAACCACAAAGTTAAACATGGTGGTTCCAGCTGGGTGTTCAAACTACAATAAACTAACCAACTACAATAGTTGGAGTTCTTAGGTCTGATTCACTTTATTCCATATTTAGATAAACTAAATCACAAAACAGGAAGTTAAACATTTCAGCTCAAAATACAAATGTGACATGAGAAACTGCATTTCTTACAAATACTTTATTGGTGAACACTACAATCATACTTACATTTTTACTGGGGAAATAAAGAATTGGCACTGTTTACCTTTTCAATCAATGCAACTTGACTGCCTCCCACGTCATTTAAGGCCATTTAATCCTAATTTCAGACAAACTGTTGTCTTGGTCAGAATTTGAACACTTTCTCAAATTACTTCATTAGCTAAAACCTGACAGACTAATGCATCCAGCAACATTTCAAAACAGACTTTGTTATTTTTAACTGAAAACAGAGCAACTCACCCTTCATCCAGTGCGTCAGCTGGACAGTTTACAGCAGGAATCCTGCAGAAAAATACAAATGCAGAATGAAAACTAGAAGGTTAAAATATTGTTTATTAGTGGAAATAAACAATTAGCACATGTTTACCTTTTTCTATTAATTCAAATGTAACTTGACTGCCTCATTTCAGGCTTTTAATCCTAATTTCTGACAAACTATTCTGTTTTCTAGATCAGAATTGGAACACTTCACTTCTCAAATGACTTCATTAGCTAAAACCTGACAGACTAATGCATCCAGCAACAGTTAAAATCAGCTTTTCAGAGTTAATTTGAACTCAAAACAAACCAACTCACCCTTCA